TGGTTACTATTGTTTCTGACCCAGGCACCACGTCACCTACTGTCAGGCTCGGGGACTAAGTCGACACATTTCACCTTACGGTGAATGTGCGCTTTTCATTTCAGGGCTTAGCCCATGGACTGGTTGCCTGCTCGACTAGGTCTTCTGTCTCTCTTCTACTTTCTAGACCCTGGCACCACATGACCACGTCATCTACTGTCAAGCTCGGGGACTAAGTGGACATACTTCACCTTGCGGTGAGTGTGTTTTCTTTAATCTATTCATTGGAGGACTCCGTGCCTCCCAAAGTTGAAGAAGATTATCTCCCTTTCTTGTGGTCGGACTCTAAGTGGGCACACTTGGTTCATAGCGAGGAAATTTTCGATTTTGAATTTGAGCTCCTTACATCCGGGCTCGGCCGGACAGTTAAGCTGGTCGATAATGATCCACAACTGCTCGACGACTCATTAGGGTGGTCGGACTTTGAGTCTGACTGCTCGGCTTTGTTTACACCTGCTCGGATAAGCTCAATACGACGTTACACAACTAGTCCCCCACCACTGATGATGATGAGGTATTTAGCTTGGCTTCTGAAACAGTTTTGTAATAGCTAAAGACAATAACATAGACTTACATTTTCAATTAATCATTAATATATGTGCTGAAAATTGTAGGGAGAAGGACAAAGTGCTCCAGATGCAATGAATGAAGATGGTGAGCTGTGAAAAACCGATGTGTTGTGGTGCTGTGTGTGCTCTTTGCGGTTGGTGAACCATTAAATAAACATGTTGTATGGGTACTGGTGAACTACTGTAATTTCTATTTGTGAAAACATGTGTATTGTTATTTGCATATTTATGCTGAACCCATGTTGTTTGTGACTTGTGACTTGTGAGCACGTGATGTGTCATGTCTCTTGTCTCGTGTGATGTATAGATAGTTCATATTTGTGTGATGTATGGATATTTGGTATTATACTAATATTTATGTGTGGTCAGTACATATTTGATATTTGGTATTGCACTTTGGTCTCTGTATTTGAGCTATCATGCGCGCATACATGTTCCGAATTAAGTTTTCGTTTACCATTCGTTTTCGTCTATTTTTCGATCGTATTTATCCATTTTCGTATTTCGTTTATCCCGCTACCGTTTTCATTTTTGACTGTCCAGCTCCTGCTTCCGTTTCCGTCTAAAAATATGAAAGCGAAAACGATTGAGCGAATTTCCGTTCGTTTGCGTCCATTTTCAACTTTACGTGCCGCCGTGCGTGCATGCAGCGGTGTGGCCTTTTGTACTACCGGCGATAGATGTGGGTGCCGCGGTCGCAGGCTTTCGGCGCCCCCACCACCGGTGGCGGCCGCGGCAGGCAGTAACAGCATCATTCGGCCGGGGGACACAAACGCAAGCGGGCACCCCGCACGCACGCAACAGTAGTAGTCCTCCTACAATACAGCACGCACGGCGTTTGCCGCCTCACCGCGACTGCCCGACACACGTCCACGGCACACGCGGCTTGCCCCGTCCTGACGCGCCGCGCCCTCTCTTCCCCCCACGCCCCTCGGCACCGCGGCTCCACGCGCCGGCAGCGACCGATGCATTGTCAAATCGAAGCCGGGCACGGGCCATGTGCACGGTGTCCACGCGTGCTGCCGGCCAGAGGCATACTGTAGTTCCTTCCGGGTTCCGGCACCCGCCGCCGTCCGGTTCGGTCCGGTCGCGCGTGGCTGGCTCGTCGTTGCCGCGCGCCGGGGACGTCCAGTCCAGTCCTGCCCTGCTCCTGCATGCAGTCCAACCCGAATCGTTTGGCGTTTTGTCGCCGGGGTCACAGGAAAGGCTTCCAGACGTGACGCCGCTGTCCTAGTAGTAGCCTGGTAGGCCTACGTTTATTCCATTTGTGACACGATCGCAGGAAGGTCGCCGTAGCCTAGTACTGTAGGTGACAGATCCCCTTCACCTGCGTGGCTGCGTGTCAGCGTGTGTATCCGTCCCCGGACCGGCGAGCCCCGGGAGGCCAGACCGGGACAAGAGGACGAGCCGAGGCCGAGCCCTGCCCGGACTGCCTGCCCCTGCTGACTGCTGCTCGACTGCGCAATTTGCGTTGGGAAAGAAAGAAAGAAAGGAGGGAATCGGCCAGGATGACGGAAGAAAATCCAGCGCCCAAGATTTCTCATCATGATGCCTCTCGTGTCGCCACTGCGCACCTGCACTAGGGCTACGGTAGTAGGAGCACTGTGGTAGTAGGTGCTTCTCCAATGGCGTTTAGGTTAAAGCCTGTTTAGTTACTAAAATTTTATAAAATTTTTCAAGATTTTTCATGCAATCAAATCTTTTTTGGAGTTCTTAATAAAGCATTAAATATAAACTCCTACGGCTATATTATTTAGACGAAATTATGAGATGAATCTAAAAAGCCTAATTGACTATGATTGATACTAATAGTTAAATAATATCGAAAAGATATCATACTATTTTTCAAAAAAAAAATCGCCAACTAAACCACCGCTAAGAAGACCTCTGGCTGGATGGAATTTTCTGAGCCTACGTGCAATACGGCGTTGGAGTTCTTAATCCCGGGACTTGTTTAGTCCCTCATATTCCGATTTTCAAATATAAAAAAGATTTAACATCACATTATCCATGTCACATGTAATAGATTAAATATTGACGAAATTAAAAACTAATTTCAGTTTAGTTGTACTTTTGACACTTACGTTTTAAGATAATTATAACGATGGGACAATTATTTTTAAAAACAAAACGTTATGTTGTCGCTAAATAGTTTGACTCAATGCTATAATCAAATTGTATATATTACTCCTACGGCTATATTATGTAGGAGTAGTACTTCTCAATCTAAAAAAGATGCAATCATTGTCCATAGTTAAATTATCTAAGATCTCATCAAGTTTATAGAAAATCGCATCAATATCTATGTCGTCAAATATGTTTACTATAAAAATATATTTCACGATGAATCTATTCTCTATAGTTAAATTATCTAATATTCCGTCAAATTTATAGAAAATAACATCAATATCTATGTCACCGAATAGATTTACTGGTAAAAAATATATTTCATAGCGTACTATTGACACTTATATGATATTATAAATATTGATACTTTTTTTTTATAAACTAGGTTAAACTCGAGATAGTTTGACTCAATGCTATAATCAAATGGTATTTTTTTCGAGACAGATAGAGTACTTATCAGATAAGTGGCAACATCTTCTTTTGTTCCTTTTATCATAAATTATCGAGAACTATGAATATTTTTTAAACACAATACAGATGTAGATATTCACATACAAGCAAGCACACGGTATCATATAATCACCTCTAAGAAGCTGAGTCTCACGGATCTTGAGGTTGACAAAGTAACCAAAAATGCTTATATGTACATGTCTCTACCTACGTTTTTCTCAAAAATTAAAAGTTGAAACATTAGTCATTGTTTAAAATAAAATTCTTAAACAACACGTCTCCGGCCCTAATGTTCCTTGCGTCCTTGGCCTACCTTAGGAGCGGTGGGTACTGTACAAGGGAGAGCGTGACATCTGATCTAGTACGCCCGTCATGATGTGATGCCAGGATCCCATCCGATCTTTGATGCCTGGACCGAGCCCCATCTTCTGCTGATGCGAGTATTTTATCCCTTTCCTTCGCCTAGCTTGTCGACTCCTGACTGGCGATGGCGACTGGCGGGGACCGAGGAGGCCCGAAAGCAAGCGAAAATCAGTCAAGCGTACACTGATCGCCGACGCGACGGCCTGGGTGCGACGACACACGATTCTGGGCATGATAGCCCACTGAGATTTTGAATGACCAATTAAAATAAAATAAGGGTTGAAAACTCAAGCGTCGAGCTTACCGAACTTTATTTAGATTGGGATTAGAAATTAGTATTTGACACGGTAGTACTTTCGTTTGTATTTGATAATTATTGTCCAATCATATGGTCTAACTAGACTCAAAAGATTCATCTCGTAATTTACAATCAAACTGTATAATTAGTTATTTTTTTATCTACATTTAATACTCCATGCATATGTCCAAAGATTTAATGTGATGGAGAGAGTGAAAAAACTTACAATCTAAACAAGGCCTTGGATGCATGCTGCTTCATGTTGCTGGAGAATGGGACGGGTGAGTTGAGAGCAAGAATTTCTGAATTTCTTTGTAAATTCTCTAGGCACGTTGTCCTGGACATGGCGCGCAATGCAGAGGATCGGCGGAGAGCTAGGGGAGAATCAGAAGAAATAAAAAATCATACGAGTACGTTTTTCCACTCTCCACACTCCACACGCCTTCTTTTCACGACCGTGTCTAAGCACACCTCCTGAATACACGAATCGATTTGAGGGTGAAGCTAGCCAGGGGAAAATTACTTTAGTAGTGTTTCACAGCTTCCCGCATAGAGTGATGCAGTCGGAGTGCTACCAAATGGTTCCACTGCAGCTCTTTTTTTCCCCCTTTGGATTTGGAACAGGACTTCATTCTGCAGCGTACACCTATCCCAAGCTAACCGACCGGGCCAATAAGGCTACTAGGCCGAAATTAACAACGATGTCTGTGTCCGTTATGGGCTCCATACAAGATACCGAGCCCTGTTGTTCAAAAAAAAAAAAGATACCGAGCCCAACTCAAATGACTATAAGGCCAGAATCAGTCTTAAGATCGGCCTTTTTTTCAGGAGGCGGCAGCAGATTATCCACGCACATGGCCACAAAGCATATGCAGACAACTTTCCACGATCCTGTTTACAACAAAGCTAGGATCTGCCGTTCGATGGCACCAAGATATAGCCATAGGCACATCGTTCAAACGAAAAGGCACTCAGCGTTGAGGTCGTTGTCAAGTAGGTAAACACGACAATACAAAGCAGCACATCCACAGTCCATGATCCTAGATCGCCCCACCATACTGAGCTCGGTATACATGGTTCCAACGTCGCAACTTCTTCGAGTGTATGGAGCTGCACTATCTTGTGGCAATGTTAGGTATGACCAAGTTCGATTGCTAGCAGGTGAGAAACCTGTATGATGGCATGTCCTCGATTCTCTGGATGTCTTCTAGCAACAGCTCCCTCTCGAGCTGGCGCCGTGTGGATTTAATAACCGTCTGCAGCGTGAGTTCCACGATTTGGTCAGCAAGGAAGGTGCTTGGTACAAAGAACGTGTCCGAAAGATTGCATATGAGAAAGGAAAGACGTACATTGAAATCCATGTAACTGGCGTGCATTTCAAGCCATTTCTGATCCATCAGTTTGAAGGTTATGCAGTAAAGAATGTCAAACGCTCGATCATTTTCTGAACAGGAAACAACTGTCAGATGTGAAGACATGATTGTCCTTACTCAGCTTTTTTTGAAAGCTAATAATATCTCTAGAGGCTCTCACGCAGGTGTCAATTAATCATTACGCCAGTAATGTCATACTATGGGTTTATTTAGAGCAGTTGTAAAAATTTCAAGAGGCCTTATTTAGCTGCAGTTGTTTCTAAGAAAACATGCTCGTTAGACGCAACTGGTCAAGTCAACTAGGCTCATTGAAGACCTCCAAAGACAGAAGTATACAGCTATAGTGAGAAGCACTAACTATTCAGCTAATTCAGAGGCTGAAAGGCCTCTTTGGACAAAAGCCTAAATTATATCAGTTCTGTAAGATTTCACTCCTACACAAATGTAACAATAAAAGAATGACTTACCTAAGAGTAGATTTAGGAAAACTGCTCCAATCAACGACGTTGGCTTAGCTGCAGAGACATTAACATCAGTCGAAATAATTGGCATTGTTAATGGCGATTGCCAAACTAGTTTCACAGTTCAGATCAACTTAATAATAAATGCTGAAAAGTTTGAAGACGAACCTGCTTGAAGATCAAGCATCTGAATTAGCATGAATGTAATATTTACACCAGCTACAGCAAAGGGATATTCCCACAATGCTCTATCACCATTCTTCTTATAAAGGAGCTCCTGAAAGGATTTCTGCAGAGAAAAAGACTCACTGAGCTGAATTAGGGGGCCCAATTTGAAAAGATCCAGTTCAATGTAGTGGTAGTAATTGGATTTTCAATTGTTTTTTCTGATTATAATATAATGCACCATAGCTGGATAAATCTTAGACCTTTACAGGGTCTACAAGATGAATTATTGATCAGCCTACTTTCTCTATTTAATGAAATCCTCAATGGGTCATTGGCTGTTCAATTGCCACAAGACTACAAGAGGTATGGAGGCAGAGTTTCAGTGAAAAATCCAAGGCGCATGTAGACTAGATCCTTTTGAGTTCAAGCTCAATGAATAGAAATTAACGCTATATCAGAGGCACAATCCAGCATTACAGAAATGTTGAGTTGGGTCAAGTAAATCGAAAAAAAGGCAGTTGGGTCAAGTAATTTGTACTCACTGGATAGTTCCTAGAGAAATACAGTAAATTCTCCAAAGATATAAAACCACCACCCCTGTAAGTCCAACAGAACATATGTTTACACATTCCAAATATATATATCAAACGAATGGTTTGCTAAACTGCAAATGTTTTTTTTTTTGAGAGAATGTTGGAATGAAGGGATGAAAGACCTGAAATCTGTAGATGGATCTTTCCCTTGCCATCCCATCTCCTTCCACTGGTCTGATACTAATCCTAGAAGTTCAGTTCCAGGAAAAGAAGCACGCCAAAGGGCTTCCAGTGCTTTCTAATGGATATATGTGTCAGTAAATAACCCAAAATAGATAGAACTCAGGAAAGGGAGATGGGAACACATGCTCTAGATTCCCATATGAAGCTGAAATTATTCAGATATTTTTAGTTCTTAGGGCCCAGTAGCACCAGATCATATTATTACTGACAACGGTAAGAATTCATAAGCAAAGCATATGGCTGTTGTACAATTGTATCAATTGTCTAATTTGAGGAGTTCTGTCCTCCTTTAAAAAAATAACGTGTGTCTAATTAAAATGATGGATTGAAATATGCAAGTGCCCTCAATCACGTGGTAAATCTTAGTCCCCCCCTCCCTCCCTCTCTTCCCTGAACCCAAGCATGTGCATACAACTGTGATGTTAAGTGTACCAACACATGTTATGGCATGCCAGAGTCATCTTGACTTTGAAAAATCAAAAGTTCATCACAGCACCAACGGTAACAAAGAACAAATGTCCAGTATGATGTTGCACGCTAACAAGGTGCTGATATCAGCTAAAGCTCGTACCTGATGCTCTAGATTTGAACCATCATACTGCACCTCTATCCGGTTCTGCAACCTATGCAAGCACTCTTCCTGGAACAGAGAATAACCCATAGATGTTTATGTAGGAACTTTCATTACCCCATGAATTTTAATACATAATGGAGGCAATGGCACACAATGTTAATCACAGAAAGGTACACTGTGTCGAAGCCATCAATGCTACAATGAAATGACATGACACTACTTCATGTTTCCATTATCACAAAATAAGCACAAGGAATGAAAATTCATTTGCATCCTCATTGCTCTTTATAGGATTTATAATATCTCAATTTCTTTTCTCAGAAATCAATCCACAAGGAAGAAAGGAAATGTCTCTAACCTCTGCATCGACATATAGGCCACTACATTGTGAAACAAAACGAGGGCAACAATTTTTCATCGTCCTATGAATTGGAGAACACACAAAGCAATCACAAAAGACCATCTCTGCCGAAGCCATTGCAGTTACATGATACAGTTTTCCTGCTGCTGTGGTGAATCACAATACTAAACATGCATTACGTTCAAGACAGTACGGGCGTAAGGCTTCCACAATCGATCCTATCAAACTCAAACAGTCCCGTACTGTCTTCATCATTCATATTTCAGAATGATCACATGCCACAGGGAAAAACAGAGATGTTGCTAACGCCCTGTGTCGAAGAGATATAGGCAATAGAAGAACGTAATGAGAGCGAGCTTTCACCTGAATGGGACTCAAATCGAAGGAGAGGCGCGCGTCGCTCTCCCTCCTCTGCGCGCAGACGCACGAAAGCCCCTTCCCGAGCCACGCCGTGGACACGCCCACGACCTCAGCTGCGGGCGCACGAGAAAGGAAGGGGGAAAAACCATAACCGTGAGCCTCTGCACGAAGGCAAACAGCGCAACCAAACGACGGCGCCACGCGCGTACCCGGCGAAGAGTGGTGGCGATGGTGGTGGATGGCGCCGCCGGAGAGGCGACGCACGGCGAGGAACGAGCCGGCGTTCTGTTCCATGCCGAACGAACGCGCTCGTTCGCGCGCTGCACCGCGCCTCCTCGGCCTCGGCCTCCCCCTCCCCCTGTCTCTGTCCAACGCCGCGTCTAAGCGCCGCAATCCGCGCGGGAACCCATGGTTGGTTGGGGCGGAGGGAGGCCGCGGCTCTTCCAATCCTGGCGTGCGCGAGATCCCACGGGCGGATAGATCACGAGGGCTGTCCCCACGACGCGCCGCGCCGCGCCGCGGCGCCCCTCTTGTTTTAGCTGGTTCGTTTGGCTGGCAACTTGGCGCTTCTAGTTTGGCTTGGCTCCCGATGGTGGCGCGAATTACTGCGGTTGCGTTGCGTCGGTCTCTAGGCTTCAGCCTGGGGCCTGGGCCAGTTTGAGACGCCAAAGGACGTTTGGTGTAGAAAGCAGCGTTTTGTCTTCAGGTTGCAACGCCGTGTTTGACCCCCAAAACAAGAGCGAGATCTGAATTTCACTGAAGAATATGATGTTCAGAGATAAATCAGTTTATCAAGGACGAATAAAAGATGTCAAAGACAGATCAAGGTCATCAATCTTGTCACCTAATGGGCGAAGATCTAGATCAGATGCAGACATGCAGTGTGGGTTTCCCAAAAACTGTCAGCATACTCCACAGCAAGTGGCCAAAATATATCCTTATGAACGAGTCATTCTATAGCTGTAGGATAAAAAAATATGATGCTGCACGCTGGAAGCAATATGCATTCCGGCAAATGAACTTTTTAAGCTTATTTTTCTTATTGATGATGAAACCAGAACATCCACATTCTACAGAGGCAACAAAATTTTACAGCTTAGCTATGAAGTACATCAATCCTGTCAAACGGGCAGGTTTGGTGTATCATATATTGATCCTACACTACTATTTAGAAACAAAGATTAATCGTACCCAGTGCAGAGAGCTCCCACTCTGTGCGGGTTCTAGGGAAGGGTGTCAGTGGCAAGCCTTACCCTCGCCTGTGCAATGCGAGGAGACTGCGACTCGAACCCGGGACCTTCCGGTCACAGGCGGTAAGACTCTACCGCTTGCACCAGGCCCACCCTTCAAATTAATCGAAGCATAAAATTAAAAAAAAATCTTTGGGTTATTATGGAACTGATTGATACCACCGGCGCTTTAGTTCAGTTTTCGACCGAACCTCCCTGAGCCTCCCATCAGTTCCATAGTCTCTTTCCATCACCAGGTTGATCCCTTCTTCTGAGTACCACCCAACTCCGATACAGAGTATGCCGTCTTCATTGATGTCAACATAGGCAGTGACGCCACCAGGTAACCAAAGCACGGTGACATCCTGCATGTCGAGAATCTCCTCCTCCCCAAACAAAACTGAACTCTCTGGTAGGGTTCTCTTCTTCACCGTCTCCATGCACAAGTAGACGAAAGGAGAACCACCCTCTAGTTCTTGCATTTCATCACTGAAAATTGGTGTTGCACTGACTTCGTATACTTTCCAGGAGCCTGTCAGTTCTGACGGTTTCGTCCGGCTTCTTTGAGAGAATGGTTTAAGGTCAACAAGTGTATCACTGCAGAGGAGATAAATGCAGTTCATTAGAAAACTTGTAGATACAATATTATTCAAAACTAGGCGGTTTATATACACCCAGACCACATAAAACAATTCTGTTTTTTTTTTTTTTTTTTAAATCATGGTTGTTCAGGTCTCTCCCATAGAGAAATTCTGGAGTTATTAAGTCAAATGGTCCTCAGCTCATATTTGGTCTTCCAATTTCTTGTTCTAGTTAAGTGTCTGCACACAGTTACTGGTGAGCCAAGAATAGGTTTGAAACCACAAATAATCAACCATTCAATGTTGAAGTAGAGAAGAACTGTACCTAGAAAAGATTCCTGCGTTTCTATTTTAGTTTATGTGAACCGATGTGCTAGTTTGGAGTCATACTGGAGATCTGGAAAACCAAAGGAATATAGTCCCCAATAACCTAAAAAGGGCGTACCCAGTGCAAAGAGCTCCCGCTCTGTGTGGGGTTTGGGGAAGAGTGTCAGTAGTTAGCCTAGTGTTCATGTTTTCCAGTTACCTACCATAGCTATTTACTATTCACTGTCATGTAATTTTTCAGGTTCCTTAGCAACCAAGTTGATCATGGTGCCTTGGCAACCAAGTAGGAATCATAGCATCTGCTTTATGCGGTTAGAATATGCTAAGGAGTAGGTACACCACTTGCTTATATATGCAGTGGTTAGCATCTTTTGTATCCAAGTTGTTATTGCAATTCAATACAATCCAAGCGGCCTGCTGGCCAAGCTGCCCTCTGGCAGCCCCAATTCGCCAACAATTGGCATCAGAGCCCGAGGTTGAGAGAAAGGGAGAGGCATGGCCACCTCCGCAGAGAGAGAAGCAGCAGCCGCCGCCGCCGCCGCCGTCAGCGTCGTCGCGAGCGCGTCCGCGAGCCGTGGCAGCAGAGCGTCATGACCACAAGCGCAAAGCGAGTGAGGGAGGCCCAGCAGCAGCAGCTCGAACGCGCGCCACCAAGTCGCCGCGGCTCTGCGTCGAGAGTTGGTGGAGGAGGATCCGCCGCGATCGCCGCCGCCGCCGCGGAGGAGCCCGAGAAGCGTGAGCAGAAAGGATCGCAGACGCGGTCGCCCGATCGGGATCGGGATCGCCGCCGCGGACGGGCTGGGGGCCGCTTCGCCGGTGATCGCACCGTGTACAAGGATTTCGCTCGAGCTCCACGGCCGATGCTCACCAAGTCAAATTACCATGAGTGGGCCTCGATCATGAAGCTGAAGCTCGGTAGCGGCAACTCTGGGGACGCGATCGAGTACCGGACACTGCGCCGTACCATGAGGACAGGCGCACGGTGGAGGCGATCATCGCCGCCGTGTCGCAGGAGATGCGCGAGATGCATTGTCGAGAAGGGATCGGCCAAGGAGGCTGAGGACTCATCGCCGCCGCCGCCATGGATCGGGCGTCGATCGGGTGCGCCGCGCCACGCTCCAGCGACTCAGCGGCGGCGGGAGAAGCTTCGCTTCCGTCCGGGTGAGCGGATCGAGGACTTCCGCCTTCGCTGATGGCCTCGGCAGGCGGCTTCTTCTCCACGGCGACAACAACATCGATGAAGAAGCGCGCGGTGGAGAGGCTCTGCGCAGCGCCATGCTGGCGAAATCGCTCGAGTGGGCTCCGGATCGTCATCGAGACGCTTCTCGACTTCCATGACCTCACCATCGAGGAGGTGTTCTGGCGTTTGAAAGACGGTGGGCGACATGGAGGCGCTTAGCCGCGGGCCGGCCGCCATCGGTGGTCTGCTGGCGACAAGGGAGCGATGGCGTGCCAAGGAGAGGAGGAGGCTGCCGCTGCGCGTCGGTCAGCAAGGAACCGCGACGTCGCCCACGCATGGCGGCAAGAAGCAAGACGGGAAGGGCAATCGCGCGGAGGAGATAATTGAGGCGGTGGCGGCGATCGCGGGTTTGATGACGACACCGCCTCAATGTGGTGATCGCGCCACTAGGCGCGTGATCGCCGCCACGCGCTGGTGGTGGTGGTGGTGGCGCGGCGGCGGTGGCAAACTAACGCGAGGAGGCAACCGCGTTGGAGGTGATCGAGGTGGACGGCGCGGTGGTGCCGCGCGACGTCGCAGACGCGGAGGACGATGATGGTGCTCTGTTCCTCGCCCACGGCTTCCTCGAGCTCGACGAGAAGACCGAAGCCGTCTGCTCCAAGGCCACGGCCTCCCTCGACATCAACGAGCCGCGCGCGCGTGTCTTCCCTCAACACCGGCGCCAGCGAGGAGGCGCTTGACGGCGTTGGTGGTACCTCGGCAATGGGCCACGCATCACATGACGGGCCGCCGGAGCTCTTCGCGAAGCTCGACACCACGCGGCGCAGACGGACGCAGTGCGTTCGGCGACTTCGTCTCGAGTGGAGATCAAAGGGACCGGCTCCATCATCTTCCAGTCAAGACGGGGAGCGCAAGCGTCCTCCATGGCGTCTTCTACATCCAATGGCTCGGAACTCGATTATGAGTTTGATTTTGGCTCGACGAAGGAGGCTCAGAGTGGAGATTGAACATGGAGTGCTCGAAACTGGGACCGGCGTGTGTCGTCTTCTCGCCAAGGTACATCGCGGGCCCGGGCGCCATCATGACAGAGAAAATTGTGAGATTGGAGGCTTTTACTTGGATTTTGCCGCTACAGGCCGGTGTGTCTGCCGCCCAGAAGGAGGACGAGTCATGGAGGTGGCATGAGCGCCATGGGCATCTCGGCTAAGATTTTCTCTAAGCTATAAAAGGCGCCGCATTATTTCGGGTTTAATCAAAAGCGAGGAGATGGTGAGGGGATGCGGTGATCAAGCATGCGAGCAAGTCTGCGACACTCGCGTCACCACCAAGCTCCGCCATGAAGCCGCTTCGCAGCAGAGGCGATCACTGTAGCAGCGCCTGGACCTCGCCCACGGCGACTTATTTGCGGGTTTGTGACGCCGCCCGACGCCAGAGAGGCGCCGCCACTTTTGCCGATGGTGGACGACGCCACCCGCTTCATGTGGGCGGTGTGCTTCGCCGACCAAGGATGATCCGCCGCGGATGCCGTGAAGCGGGTGAAGGCGAAGCGAGAGAAGGAGACCGGCCGTGAGCTCAAGGTGCCGCGAACCGACAATGGAGAGAGAGTTCACCGTCGGCGAAGCGGGCGCAAAGATGCCGCCGCCGCCAAGGAGTCAAGCGGCGCTACTACTCGCACCACACTCACCGCGTCTTTAGAGCGGTGTGGTGGAGCGGCGCAATCAAGCGGTCGTGGCGACCGCACGCGCCTCTGAAGCAGAGGTCCATGCCGCCAAATTTTGGGGAGGCGGTGATGGCGGTGCATCGACGCGCTTTCGCGCACGACGAGAAGCTTGCAAGGCAAGACCCCTATGAGGCTCGGCACGGACGGCGCCGCGGTGAGCTATCTGCGTGCTATCTGCATTACATTCGAGTTTTACATTGCGTCGTATTCATACTCGGCGCAGTGCCGCGCAAGCTCGACGATCGCTGCAAGGATGG